TTGAATTCAATGATACAATATCATTGTATAAGAAAAACGATTCTGAGCGAAGACGGTATGTCAGTCTAGGTTAAGACAAATTATATACATATCTATGGTATTAAAAAAAAATTGACCTATAATAAATTCCAAATTAATCATATCACATTATCACAATATCCATTAGGTACTAATAACACGTTATACACCAACAACAAACCCTGATACTATCATATATATATAATAGTACACTTTAGAAGTTTCAAGTAGGTACCCACGAATAATATTATATAATCACAACAAAATAACTAGGTTTTTTAATATGTAATTTCGTCAAAATTTGAACATAAAATGACTATAAAAATAAACTGTGATTGTATATTTTTTAGATTTTTCGGTAAGAGAATTAACTACTTACGTGAAATCTTGTTTTAAATTTTCAATCCTTAGCTATAAAAACTGAACATTTTATAATGTATTAATTACGATGATTAATAATTTTTGAGATTTTGAAAAATTCGATGTGTAAATGTTTATAAAAAATAAATTGTGCCTATGTATTTTTAATATTTTTCAACTGATATTGTAACAATATATCAGGAGCCTTGTATTAAATTTTTACACTTTTTGGCCCAACAGATAAAACTTAATTAATATTTATAGAAAAAAAAAACTAAAAAAATTGAAAACTGAAAATGTCCGTAAACGGCTCAAAAAGAGTCAAAATATTTTCAAAATTGTATGGTGTATAGGAAATGCTAATATAAACATTCAGTGAAATTTTCATGTATCTACAGTAATTCGTTTTTTAATTACAACAAAAAAAGGAAATTGCCACATGAGAAATCGAGTGAATATCCAATGTTGTAAAAATTTGAATTTCAAACGCTCATAAAAATTTAATTTGACTTTCCGGTAGAGATTTTTTTATTGATAAAGGTAGACAATCTTATGAGTAATCTTGTATTAGATTTTCAAATCTTAGATTTAAAAAGAAAAATTTTTACGAATTCTTAACTCAAAATAATTTGCTAATTTTCGTGATTTTTCCATATTTTGTCAATTTTTGAACTTTAAATGCTTATAAAAAAAAATTGTGACTAAGGATTTTTAATATTTTTCATCTGCCCTTGAAACAATATATTAGGAGCCTTCTATTAAATTTTCAAGCTTTCGCAACCAACAAATAAAATTTTATTGATATTTCTAGAAAAAAAACTAAAAAAAAACTAAAAATGAAAATGTCCCTAAACTGTTCAAAATAAATCAAAATATTTTGAAAATGTTATCGTGTATAGAAGATGCAAATATAAACAACCAGTGAAAATTGCATGTACCTACGGTCATTTGTTTTAAAGTTACACCAAAAACCAAATTCAATTTTCTGAAAAATCGATTTTGCGTAAAAATTCCCGTTTTTCCTTAATTTTTCTTTTGTTTTTCCCGGCGCTCTTGAAAACTACTGGGAAATTTAAATTTTGACCTCCCCAATGCACCAACGATATTCACTTTCCAATCGAACAAGATACTGAAGTCGAAAATCGAAGCATTATTTCGACTACTTATCGTGTACACAGACACAAAAAAAATAAAAAATAAAATAAAAAATAAAATAAAAAAAAAATAAAAAAAAATAAAAAAAAAATAAAAAAAAAAACACACATCATTGTAAAATCAATACATTCATCGTTTCACTCAGAATCTAAAACACACATCATTGTAAAATCAATACATTCATCGTTTCACTCAGAATCTAAAAATGGAAAATGAAAATGTCCCTAAACTGTTCAAAATAAATCAAAATATTTTGAAAATGTTATCGTGTATAGAAAAGGCAAATATAAACAACCAGTCAAAATTTCATGTTCCTACAGTCATTTGTTTTAAAGTTACACCAAAAACCAAATTCGATTTTGTCAAAAACCGATTTTGCGTAAAAATTCCCGTTTTTCCTTAATTTTTATGTTGTTTTTCCCGGCGCTTGTGAAAACTATTGGGAATATTAAATTTTGACCTCCCCAATGCACCAACGATATTCACTTTCCAATCGAAAAAGATACTGAAGTCGAAAATCGAAGCATTATTTCGACTACTTATCGTGTACACAGACACAAAAAAAAAATAAAAAAACACACATCATTGTAAAATCAATACATTCATCGTTTCACTCAGAATCTAAAATATTTAGTTACACAAATATTTAAGCAAAAGGAAGTGCGATCCCTGGATGGTTTCTTCCCTCACCCTATTCATGTTTTTTTAATTTAATGTAGAACATATTCTCATTATGCCTATGGGTATAGATTGTATATTCTCTAATAAAATAAAAAAAAAAAAATCTTAAAATATTTGCTGTGTTTAATTTCTAGTGGTAGTATATTGTAAATTTTTGGACCAATATATAAGTATGTGGATTGTGTTAATTTGTTGTGCATAGTTGTGCATAATATTTTACAGTTAGGTACTACAAAAAACGACATAACTACTGATATTATTCCCTTTGTTGGCTTTCGAATTGAACGCTGAATCGGTCAACTGCACAGCACTTATCGGTTGAGGCTGCTGCCGTCTGTACGCGGACTCGGCGAAATTCCGATGCTTCAAATACACCGGTCCGGTATTATTATTACCATCGTCTAACATGGTCGGGACTCGAACGAATATCGAGCACTACGCTACATGTTTGTCGAACCGAACGAAAGTGCGCATAAGTGCTCGGACACGTTATCGGACGATATTGTGCAATATCGTAATTTTTTTTTAGATACCTGCTACATTATTGTTGTTCACCGGATATATATATAGGAGGGTATATATTAGCGTGTCGTTTATTACCCTCGTTTATTGTACCTATTATGGACGTGGCGCTCAATACCGCGTTTTATCTGCACATAGCGATCAAAAAATTTAAAAACGCACCGTAAACACAATTAATATAATATTATTTTACCAATGATGACAATCGTTATATACCTTATGGCTTATACGATAAGTGAAACAGACAACGCAGTGTTATTGTATAATGGGCGTTTTATGTAGTAGATGAAACGTATGATTATAATATATTAACATGTTAAATTGTTATTCCTACAACTGCACTGTATATTATGCTTACACCCCTAAAAACCCTTAAAAAAAAATCAAACCACTAAAACCCATATCAGCTGATTATTTATCTTACAGATTTGAATAATGGTTTAAAATAAATAATAAATATAGTGTGAGGAATAATTTTACAAGTTGACTGCCACAGTATTTTTGTATAGAACTGTCCTCAATAACAGTGAAACTCCACGAGTACCTACCAGCAAAAGTACTCTCTGGTTAATTTGTCACGTAGGTAACCTACAAGACTACCCCACCATTTTGGACGGACATCAACGCAGGCAGTATAGGTAGGTTTTCTTTGTATATCTCGTAACTTCGTAGGTAGGTACTCAGTGACGTAAATTATTTTAAGAATATTGTGACTTAATCCTCAAGTCTGTAAGTCAAAAGCGGTAAGTAGGTACCAATGCCGGTATTCAAAGCGTGTAAAATTAACGAATTAAAAATATTTAAGCCTAGAGTACAAATCATGTTAGGTCCAGATATGACACTCATGGCGGTCAACTTGTTAAATAGGTAGGTAAGTATTAATTATGATTAGTAACATTAGATACAAAAATACTATGCTCAACATATTGTGTGTGTGTGTGTGTGGTGGGGGGAGGGGCTATTGGACTTGATGGTATATACGAGAAATAAATTTGGTATACATTGAATTTTGAGCCAGTTTTATATACATTTATCTATTTAAATGTTTATGTAATCTGCGCAAAAATATCAAAACATATAATGTCATTTGCGCCATATATGAACATTAGATAATCTTCGCAACACTTCCAATTTAAGTTATTGAATTAACCTGTACATTTACCAAGCATTAGTTATACCACATTTCCACATAAGACGTTAATTGTGAATAAATAACATGGAAACAACTAAATAGGTAATAACACAGAACAATAACTAAATGGTAATAACTACCTAATTAATATTACTTATTAGTTATTAGGTACCATTGTCCATTGCAAATAATACCTAGGTACCTACCTATAGAGTATAAACAAATATTCCTGATTTTTATTTTTACATATTTTATTAGGTTGTAACGAAAATATTACTCAAATATACATAAAGTACGTAAGTACTAAGTATAGGTACCTACAATAATTACAATTAGCTTATATATTTTATAATTTTGCTTTATCTGAATATTATCAATTTTCTTGAAATATTGTAGCTACTAGGTAACCTAGGTATCTATTAAAATGAACTTGATTGATAAATAATTTAAAGTGGCTCAAATGAACAAAATTAATTATTATATATTTAGATGTGACGTAAATTTCATATTATCTGACATCTGTCCTAACTACGCAGAACACCCCGAAGAATGTCCTTAGAACATAAATTAATATTATATTACTATTTATTACCATGAATATTATATTAATTAGCCATTAGGTACATATTATGAGCAATTTCAACTTTTAGCTTGGGGGGGCTGAATATATTATTAAATGCAAGCAGACCACGGACTAAGATAGTATCTTAGTCCGTGAAGCAGACCTATGCAATATAGCATATTAAAATTGTATGTCCTAGGTTTTTTTTTGGGAGGGGGGCTACGACTAAGTTTGGGGGATTAGCACCCCCCCCCCCAATTTGCGCCTATGATTAGGTACAACGTACAACCATGAACATATAATTTTCTCTATTATGCTTTAAAATTTAAATAATATTATTTTGCTTATATTTTGACTTTCATCTATTATCTGATTATATTATCAAAATAATACAAGCAATAATGATATCGCCATGATAAGAAATTCTAACATCTTACCCATGCGGTCGCCGGCCGGATTATACATCTAAAATCATAATAAAAATTGCATTTTGAAGAATATTTTGTTTATACATTTTAAATTTTAATGGTATTGAATTTATTTACGTAACTACCGACGATACTGGCAAGAATGCCTACAAATGTGTACAGAGTCCAAGGGCCCGAAGGGACCATACCGTATGAACAATACTTAATCGATAGAAATAATAATAAACTTGAAGAAATTGCCACAAGTTTAATGAAGGATGTGCGATGTGATGGCAGAGATATTTCAGCCCATAGAAATTTATGTAAGATTTAAATACCTAATATGTTATAATGAATGTTTTGCTTAATGCAATTTTTTTTGTTAACAAGGTATCAAAACTGGTATTGTTACACAAGCCAAAGGATCAGCTTATTTAGAATGTGGTAGTACAAAATTAATATGTTCTGTATTTGACCCTAAAGAAGTTCCGAATAAAGTAGAATATGCTAAAACTGGAGTACTTCAGTGTGAATTTAAATTTGCTACATTTTCATGTAGACAACGGCGCACTTACACAAGAGATTCTGAAGAACGGCAATTGTGTAATGAACTACGCAGAGCTCTAGAACCTGCTATTTGTAGAGTAAGTTGGTTAACATATTGAATGTAAGATGATTTTAAATACGGTTAAATTGGTATTTAGTTACTTAACATGTGTTTAAAGATAGATAATAAACATTACTTTTATTATTAAATAATTAAATATTTATTAATTTCTTTATATTTAATTCTTGTTTGAATTATTAATAATAGAACCTGTACGTGTGCACAGGTTGTAAATATTATACTATAAGTGTATTATTTTATAGGGTGAATTCGCAAATTTTGAGATTCATATTAACGTTCTGGTATTGGAAAATGATGGATCTGTGTTGGCTGCTGCAATCACAGCTGCAGGACTTGCACTAATGGATGGATGTATACCTATGTATGATGTGATCGTTGCCACTTCATTGGTTTGTTATATTTTTTACATTGTCAATGAAAATACAGTGATTACTTATGTGTGCAAACAATCGCACCTCTCAAGAGAATAATTAGAAAGGAGTCATATTATGATAGAATAAAAATCATTCAAATTATTGTTTAATGGTCACGTTTTAAAATATATTTTACTAAAATAATTAAAAATCGGGGAATATCACTCTGTTGTATAGTAGTTTTTTCAAGTGCACATCTTCATTGAAACTGGTCACATTGATTGTTGTGTTCAATTTGAGGTCAATGATAAATCATCCTAAAAATGATTCTGAGTAACAACGGTATCCCCCCCACACACAGCTCTCTATTTATTTTCTGACGATATATTACCTATAATTAATTTGTATTATAATTGGTAATTTATTTATTTATCAGTATTAAAATATTATGTTGAACTACATCTATAAGTCAATAACGCGTACTCTAGAATGGTGTGGATTTGTGGTATTAGTAGTTTAAAATTGAATTAATCGTGATTCAATTGGTCAAAATCTTTTTTTTAATTTCATTGTGTAAAAACAATATTAATACATTTTATGGAAAATAATAGTTATCGTAATATGGTAATAGTATTATTAAAATTATAAATCAATTTTTCAATAATTATCTTAACTGTCAACTTACTATAAGTTAATAAACTATGCTTTGTACTTACTATCATATTTTAATGATTTAATGTTTAATGTCAGTTATATTAACTGAGCAACATAACTATACTCTATTCAAAATAATACCATGACCAGATCATCTTATTTTGAACAGAGTATAGTTTCACTTATTCTTTTATGCATTTATATTTTAATTATTAAAATGTTCTCTTTTCTTTTATAGGGTATTTACAAAAATAAAATTTTAGTGGATCCAACATATGATGAGGAAACATTATGCTCATCAAGGATAGACAATGGAGAAAACAGAGGCACTGTCATGTTAGCTTATATGAAGAATTTGCAACAGATTACAGAATTTGCTCAGAATGGTTCAATGGATGTCAACATGTTTCCAGAATATGTACAAATATTGACTAATCAAAATTGTAAACTATACAAACTGGTGATCTCTGCAGCCAGAAAAGATGTTATTGAACATTTTGAAAATGAAAATTAATAATAATCTATAAAATTAAATAATAAGACAATAAAATATTATTTTAAATTTTAAAGCTGTAATTCGTTTCAATGATCATTGATTAAAAAAGGTAAAATTTAAATAAAAACCAGTTTTTTATTTCAAATTGTTAAATTATATTCCGAATCTGTTTTCAAACAAATTATCAAGTTCACAATTTTATTCTAGTGGTTTATATAATTATTATTTGTGATAATGATGTCTTATTTTTAAATATATATTTAATAAGTATAATGCAACATTTCTTTTTTCCCCAATGAAATTTAATACTCAAAATCTATCTCTATTAAATTAAAATTGTATATATATATATATATTTATTTACATTGCATACCAACTGGCAACTTATATGTGCCTACAATTCTGAATAATTTGTTATTATTATTATTGTGTGTTAGTAATTTCCGCACCTGAAATTCAGTGTTTATCAAATAAACAATTATTTATCAACACAAGCATTCACTAACAGACTAAACTATGTACATAATTATATTTACAGACAATAACAGTTCAATCAAGGCATTACGCAGCGAAACAGATCATATTAGATTCCCATAACCCTTTTGTATATTAATTACAAATTAATTTATGTATATATATGTTAATATATAAGAGTACATAATTTTTTTTGTCTTGCATACTTTTTACCAATATGCGGCTTTAAGATAACCGAGAAAATAAATGAGCTGATTATTGTTGTCGGGCCGGTTAAAAAAGTGTGATACACAAGAAACAAAATCCTGCATAATATGACTCTCATAATCCTAACACTCATTGTTAATTGTTATATTTTACTTTTTGTTTAAATTCAGGTGTATGGTACTGATAAAAATTAAGTATATAATATTCCATACTCAACAATTCAAAATTTATTTCTTAAATTGTATAATATTATTAATATTCATTGTAATTTAAATTGAAGAATTGATTCTTAATACATAATATATTATTTTAGATTTTGAACTTGGTTATACGATAAAACATTAAACCGAAAAATGTTGATAGTTCATAAGATTATTCATCAGGTTTCTCTGGTGGAGGCCCACAAGGCTGCAACATTTTTTCCATTAAGTTGAATCGTACTCTTGCTTTAGCTTCGTTCTCAGCAATTCCAAACCAATTCAATAAATCATAATGGCCTAGGTATGAAGCACACGAGTCACGGTGTTGATTTACTTGCCATTCAAACTTGGTAGTATCAGCGTGGCCTGTACCTATGTATTTTGACTGAAGGTGCTCCAATTGACTGTGTATATTGTATCGGTCACCCATGATGGTCTTTGAAATAAAACTAAAAAAGTAAGTAAATAACAATGAAAATACATAACTTTTTAAACAACTAAATTTGGTTTAAATGGGATATGGCAATATGATACATAATAAATTTTCGTCTTAAACTCATAACTCGAGTATACATTTTTAGAAGTTCTTTATTAGTCTCAACAGGCTGAGTATAATTATGCAGTGGTACTCGATCTAGATGCTCTTTGTCAATGTTAATGGTCTGCGGCAACTCAATTTCTGACCAAACTAGTTTTCTTAGTTCAACACTGTGTTTTCTTTGTAAGGGAAGCAATACATATGCCCCAAACACTGTGTCCGAATATGATACACTTACATAATGTTCACATAGTGTTTTGTAAAAGTCGTAAAAGGATTCAACTCCTATTATAGGATCTTTAAAATTCAAATTGTTGTTTTGGGCTGCGTATACATGCCAAATTTGATTTAATATTGATTTTACCTCATGAAAAATTGTACCACGACGACCACACATGAATGTACAAGCTACACGGCAATAACGCGCAGCCAATGGAGTTTGTTCACAAACTTCTGGATAATGTGTTTCCATAAACAATACATTAGCTAATGATTCTTTAAGAAGCGATTCACCTTCTTTTGAGCTTTTAAAAAACGGAGTCTCATGAATCTTCAAAATTGGTAAAAACAACCAATCCTTTGGTAAAATAGGATCCAGTTCAGTAATTAATATACTTGCACGAGTGCTTTTGTTATTGGGTATAAGTATCTCATAAAATGATTTTAAAATTTCAAAATTGCTTTCGTACTTGATACTTTCTACATAACTACTATTAAAATACAATTTTAAAGTATAATACAATTCTTCAGCCAAATGTTTAGGTATGAATGACATAAGTGTTATGGCAATTTTGTGGGTTGAGACTACTTCAAATTGAATGTTTGTCAAAGTTTTTAGTATGTTAATTAAAAAAATTATTTCGTATCTGCAATACCAATGTGATACATCTATAGATGATTTCATTAGTTTATTTAAATATGTCCAAAACTGTTTAGGGATATTAAAATGTCTGGGATTATTGCATAAGAATTTCATAAGTCCAATTAACATGAACAAAGGTTCTCCTCCATTTAATGATATATTTATAAACCCAAGACTGGGATAGCATTTTGCACTATTGTTCACATAATCGCTCATTAACCATGATTTTTCATATAGTATTTCACATATTTTTCCAAAATGTTTATTTAAATATTCAACTGCTTTCAAGGATACAGAATCAAATTTCAAGTTCTTAGAACTGAGAACAGAGAAGCAGTTACCTATTAGTTTTGAGGTTTCAAAATTAGGTAGATCAGAGCTACTTAATAGTCTGGCTAAAATTATTTCTGTTAGCTGATACACCGGATCGATATAGATTTTGCCAAAATTTCTCAAGGCTGAATCAATAAGACTTAAACTTGCTGACATTAAAGACAAATCAGTTTTTGTTAAATCTGCAGTAAGTCCAACTGAGCGATCAACAAACTTTAATACAAGATTGGCTACTTCGGTAATTGTTTGACCAGCCAACTTATATTCAAAAAATGTCTGCCACAAGTATAGACATTCTAGTAGCAACGGAGTCTTTGTCGGATTATTAATATACTTAAATATAGAATCTAAGATTTTCATTTCCAATAGTTTTAAAGCACATTTAACTGACTGACTACTGATTACACGAGTGAGGAATACAAAGGTTTCTGATAGATCATCAGAATGTAAGTTGGTAAAAACTAAACTATACAAATGCTTGTACAAATTTGTCTCAACAACTAAAAATGCATATTTTTCCCCTCTGGAAGCAATGCCAGTTAAAATGTCTGTTATGTCTAAAAGACTGCTAGATCCTATATTCATATTGAAAACAATATACTGTAATCTTAAAATTAAGTCAGTTCTCAGTGCTCCTTGTACAAGATCTAATACTATCAGATCATAATCAGAGGTTTTATCTAATTCATTTTGATTGATTTCTGCATCTCGAACTGTGTAAACAGGTAAAGCAATGTCACAATTACATCCAGATAAACCAGTTAACATTGTGCGGTCAGATTTTCTGGAAAATAAATTTCCTATAGCTTTCAATGCATTTGTAATAATTGCGATGTTAGTGTCATCCAATGCAATTCTCAACAGTACAAACATACCAGATTCCATCAGAGAACATAAAAGAGGTTTGTCTAAAACTGAATCATAGGAACAAGCATTATTGATAAGTTTTGACAACACATCTAAGGCCAATATTCTTTGAGGAGCATGATTTTTGCGAAGAAAAGAATAGAGTTCATCTATAGTATATCCAGGACGATGTTGTTCTTCGCCGTGATGATGTAAGCCGTCAACAGTAGTTTTGTTTTCGATTATGTAGGGTAACAGTTTTCCATCAAGACCGAAACGAGCAGCATAAACATCAACAACTTTGTTTTGATTTTCAACATTCACATCACCTGTCCATCCAAGTTTCTCTTCTTCAATTACATCCATATTTAGACCATTGTTAACTAGATCTTTCATATAAGATAAATTTTTTATTTTATCTTCTTTTATCTTATTTTGGTTATTGACCAATTTTACTCTATCGCTGTCCTTTGGTTTCAGATCATACTTTCCGTGGGTGCAGTCATTGTTTCGTTTAGATTTTAAAAATTCAATTAATTTTCCATCCATGCTACTTAACAATTCATTTTTTGCATTTAATAACTCCTCGTCGCTCATACTAATAAGTTTTTGTACATTTTCTTTGTGTATATCACTGGCTTCAGGACCACTCAGTACAACACTAGTATCTCCGAAAGAAGTTTTGGTGAGTTCGGGTTCAAGAGACAAATTCGTTTGTTGATCTATTCGTTTTTGCATTTTTAAAGCAAACAGACTGGGTTTCCGCGAATTGGTAGTCATTTTTACCTATTTATAATGATTATAAATTTCAGAAAAAAGGTATGTTCATGAAACTATTAACTAATAATTATTAGGTATGTATTATTGAATAAGTGAAAAAAGAGTATAATAATATTAGTTTACCTGTTTTGTTCCTTAGACTTAAATATTTATTAGGTACTTTTAATTTTTATATATTTTATGTTCTACCTTCTGTGATTGTAAATACTAAATTCATAATTGTAATAACTATGATACAGAATGTATGCAGACACATAGTAAATAATAATAAATATTGTACCGAAAAAATAAACGATTTATATCATGGAACAAAAATATCATATATATATATACAAATTACATTATCAGTTATCACTCACCGCCGAATTCAATTATATTTAAATTTTTATTGATTCATGAATTTCTCAAATGGACAATATTATATTTTAATCAAGCACAATTAATGCATACAATTAAAACTAGCTAGGAATATTGAATCCAAGAATATATATTCTCCTCTAAATAAGTACCTATAATATACATAATAATATATTTCTTTGAAATATATACAATTACAATAGTCAAAAACACTGCAGTTAAGTATAATAAAACGCCATTTAATTGCCATCATATTAGGTATTTTAATCTTAAACATTTTTCTTATAATTATGATAGTTTTGATACTATACTTACCACCAGGCCACCATTGTTAAATTGATTTTTTTTTGTCTACAACACTTTCATGGATCTCGAAAATGGAACTGTAATTCAAATAATTACAATACGTAGGTAGGTACCCATATAATATATCATTTGAAAGTTGAAATATTACCTAAATGTACTAATATTAATTACCGGATTTAAATGTGTTGAAAATATGTCAAAATTGCATTGAAAATGTATATATCAACATTTTAGTATTACTTATATAAATATGTTAAAATTACAATGCAAATACAATTAAGTTACATGATAAAGTCGTAAAATATATAATTGTTAATTAATTAAATAAATAATATTATGGACATTAACAAATTACAGAATTATAAAATAGTTTAAAACAAAAATATTATAAACAATTATTTTAAAATCAAAAAATTACGTTTTAACAAAATCTTATATTTTTACTTTTTAGAATTTTGTTCTTAATAAATGTGGTATCAATAGAATTAAAAATATGGAAAACAAATGTCAGCAAATAATTTTAGTTTTAGGACAGTATTCAATTTTTCCTCTGCAGCAACAAGGATTCATGTATCTGAATATACATTTTCTTTTAGAAATATTGGGTGTCCTCGAAAACTGGGTAGGTACACTCTGCAACTCAGTTACATTACTCAGTATTCTTTAAAAATTTTAGATTTCTGTCTGCGAGAGATTGATGCTCGAATAGTCTATAGTTTCATTATGTCCTTCAAAGTCAAACATAATTCAAAAATATGTATAGGGTATAAATGATATAAAGACTAATATGTGTAATTTATACATTGCGTATGTTTTTGAGGACAAACGATCAAGCCCAGATTAAGACCTTCAGGGGCCCAGGGGCCAATACATGGCTGTGGACCTCCATCAATGAAAAAAAATCCATAATATGTCCCCATTTACCACGCTCATGGTGGTATGAATGATGGTAGGTGCACCCATCATCATGGGTGACGGATCACAACACCTGTTAGTTCAAACTTCAAACGAGAAAAAATGTATATAGGTAAGTTGTAGGCACTATAAAAAGTACAAATTACCACTCAATATAATTTTAAGCAGAGAAGACTATGGGCCCTTTACATACGTGCCCCCCCTTGGCCCCTCCCTTAATCCGGGCTTGCAAGTTGCAAATTATATGAAGGGTTACGGGGAAAAACGATAATAGTCAATATTCCTAAAATGTTCAGTACCGTCAAACCGGGTTACTTGGGACACTTTTGAACTTCGGATGAATACTGATCGAAAAGTTTTCAAAATATATTAATAATTGTAATGAACAAAAATGCTGGTCTTGACTTAGACTATGAGACCCATATGTTTTTTTTTTTGATTCCTCCCCCCTTCCCGTTTTTTTTAAAAAAAATATGCTTGTCCCAAGTTACCTTGATTTTTGGGTAACTTGGGACACCCATATATTTCTATGTAAAATTCAAGTTAACTTTGATATTATTTAACTTGGGACTTAATAATTGTTTTTAAAAAAAATTTGAATGTTGACTTAAATAAGTGTACCTACTGAACATTTTAGGAATATTGACTATTATCGTTTTTCCCCGTAACCCTTCATATAATTTGCAACTTGCAAGCCCGGATTAAGGGAGGGGCCAAGGGGGGGCACGTATGTAAAGGGCCCATAGTCTTCTCTGCTTAAAATTATATTGAGTGGTAATTTGTACTTTTTATAGTGCCTACAACTTACCTATATACATTTTTTCTCGTTTGAAGTTTGAACTAACAGGTGTTGTGATCCGTCACCCATGATGATGGGTGCACCTACCATCATTCATACCACCATGAGCGTGGTAAATGGGGACATATTATGGATTTTTTTTCATTGATGGAGGTCCACAGCCATGTATTGGCCCCTGGGCCCCTGAAGGTCTTAATCTGGGCTTGATCGTTTGTCCTCAAAAACATACGCAATGTATAAATTACACATATTAGTCTTTATATCATTTATACCCTATACATATTTTTGAATTATGTTTGACTTTGAAGGACATAATGAAACTATAGACTATTCGAGCATCAATCTCTCGCAGACAGAAATCTAAAATTTTTAAAGAATACTGAGTAATGTAACTGAGTTGCAGAGTGTACCTACCCAGTTTTCGAGGACACCCAATATTTCTAAAAGAAAATGTATATTCAGATACATGAATCCTTGTTGCTGCAGAGGAAAAATTGAATACTGTCCTAAAACTAAAATTATTTGCTGACATTTGTTTTCCATATTTTTAATTCTATTGATACCACATTTATTAAGAACAAAATTCTAAAAAGTAAAAATATAAGATTTTGTTAAAACGTAATTTTTTGATTTTAAAATAATTGTTTATAATATTTTTGTTTTAAACTATTTTATAATTCTGTAATTTGTTAATGTCCATAATATTATTTATTTAATTAATTAACAATTATATATTTTACGACTTTATCATGTAACTTAATTGTATTTGCATTGTAATTTTAACATATTTATATAAGTAATACTAAAATGTTGATATATACATTTTCAATGCAATTTTGACATATTTTCAACACATTTAAATCCGGTAATTAATATTAGTACATTTAGGTAATATTTCAACTTTCAAATGATATATTATATGGGTACCTACCTACGTATTGTAATTATTTGAATTACAGTTCCATTTTCGAGATCCATGAAAGTGTTGTAGACAAAAAAAAATCAATTTAACAATGGTGGCCTGGTGGTAAGTATAGTATCAAAACTATCATAATTATAAGAAAAATGTTTAAGATTAAAATACCTAATATGATGGCAATTAAATGGCGTTTTATTATACTTAACTGCAGTGTTTTTGACTATTGTAATTGTATATATTTCAAAGAAATATATTATTATGTATATTATAGGTACTTATTTAGAGGAGAATATATATTCTTGGATTCAATATTCCTAGCTAGTTTTAATTGTATGCATTAATTGTGCTTGATTAAAATATAATATTGTCCATTTGAGAAATTCATGAATCAATAAAAATTTAAATATAATTGAATTCGGCGGTGAGTGATAACTGATAATGTAATTTGTATTTTTGTATTGTAGTTTTAAAGTGGGACTCTTGCTTTTTTTTTCCCCGTTATGGTAATAATTGAACCTGTATTATATCATGTACCGTGATCTTTTTTCAATAATTCGATTCAAGTGTCGATTCATTATGAAACTAACCAAAAGGTACTATAATTATTTGATTTTTCCTTTGTTTTGACTATGATCGTTTTTCCCCGTAACCCTTCATATATATTATACACCTATACAACAATTTAAATTTAAAAATTATGAGAATATTAAAATGTTTTTTTTTGCCTTGTGGCAAAGATATTATGCGGAATGAGTTCATTGAAATCGAATATTCAAAATTCAAATGACCAATGAATCCGAAATTTGTTTTTAGATTACAGATTCAACATTCAAATTTAAAAATCGTAACATTATAATATTAATTGTTATTATCGTAATATTTTATTATCACATTATATCGTCAAGTTTTTTCCGGCGAAGAGAGAAACACCGATCCGGTTCATAGACATGTGTTTTGGTCACACTGGATTGTCGGCCAGCAGTTCCTTCCTTTTTCTTTGCGCCATTTTAGTGTTTACCCATTCCGTTTTTGCCGTTTCAGTTTTTAGTGTTCAGTGTTTATCAACTGCGTGAATGATCCACTGTTCCCGTGCGAGTATTGTGTGCACTCTTCATTTATATTACTGTTGACATTCACGACGAAACTATTTTTATTTCGATACATAGGTAAATGATGAAAACTTTGGACTACTGAACTAGTGAACTCGTTAAAATTGAGTACTGTGCTACGGCACTACGCAACACTTGAAAAATGGCCGCCAGTGACTCAAAGGCTCCGATCCGAAGTGTCAAACGAGTACAGTTCGGTATATTGTCTGCGGACGAATGTGTTAGTATATTGAAAATTTGAAATGTATTTTAATTCGAAACACCTCATTTATATTCCGCAGTTCGTAATATGATACACAATGCACATACACAATATTATAATATACTGCTGAACGCATTTAGTTGCATAACATTGTGTTAATGAAACATTGTTGGAATCGAAAAATATAAAAACATCACCACAATAATATGAACCGACCTATGTCACAAATATTTAGTTGTAAGACTTTACGGCATAATCGAACTTTTATATTATATATTGTCGTGTGATTTATGACTATGAGTAGGTATTGGGTATTAGGCATCTAGTGGGCCTGACCGAGAAAGTACATGCTTGCATTATGTGTTTACACATTTTCAATGTTCTGTGTTCGAC